CTTCAAATTTTGAACCATTAGTTTATTCAAAAAAATTACATCAGGTATTTGTTAATTTGTCACCAAATTATGAAGTCAGTTTTTCAAAACTAATCAATCTTTTTTTTTTTTACAAACATATTACTAAACAAAATTGTTTTCAATGCAAATTTATATGCATTACTCAAAGGTGCTAATCTTGCTAGAAGACAATAAAAGAACATAGACCATAAGGAGCTTATTATCTAAATTGTTTAGTTATTTACCAGGAGTTTTTAGGTTACATTCACCTGATCAATATTAAAATAAAAATCTAAAGTATTTTATCTATAATATTTTTAAACAAATGATGCTAAAGTGATTTGAACAAATTAAGAGGTATCTTTATATCTTTTGGTTTAAAAAAGATATTAAGTACTATTTTAAAAAATTAGAGTTGTTATTTTCTATATCTAAGATATTTTTAAATAACTTTATATACCAGCCTCAAATATTTTGGTTAATGAAATAATGATCAGATTTTCTGCAAAAAGGATTCTTAATGTTCTTATTAAAAACAAACTAATTTTAAAAGATTTTAAAATATTGTTATTTTGCAACTCTGGATATAAGTTTATTTTTTTTACCAATATCATGTGTTTTTACAAGTAATATAAAAATAGATAAGTAGACTTAATCAAAGTAGTAACTTGGTCTATTATCTTATTATATAACTTTGTATTATTTATTGTTATTTAATATTTATATAGATAACTACTTTTCTAATATTTTTTTAGAATTTTTAGATTGGTATTTGTAGTACTTTTTGCAAAATAGCATTTAAATTTTTTAAAAAATTAAAAATAAATAAAAATCTTTGACTTGATTAGGATATATGTTCTGGTATTGTAGTAAATAAAGTATTAACTATGATTTAGCAGTACAATAGCCTAATTATAATTTTGTTTACAATTTACAGTCTTATTGGTAAACAATAAAAAATCAAACTCAAAAAATGGTATCAATACTAATACTCTAAAAGTACATATTATATTTGGTTTTGAATAAAGAAAGAAGCTAAAAATTTTAAAAAATCAATGACTATGACTATTATTTAAATTGTGTAGATATTGTAAACTAACTTTTTTTTTAAATATTAAGGTAACTACTTGGGGGTCTGGCATGTTTTATTTGCAATCTGAATCAAGTTCTGGCTTAGTCTTGTTGACTTTATCTGACTTTGTTATACTGACAAGAGCATAATTGGTCATATATATAACTTTAGTTATTGCCTATTTAAGAGTTCTACTATATCTATTTCTATCTATAGTTATACACCAATTGCTATATCTAAGATCTCTTGTAGATCTCCTATTTAAACCCTCTGATCAACTTCATACTGTTATATTGTTTTTACTACTGCCTAACTACTGCTAAGACCCTTAGAACTACTTTATCCTTGTGATAAACCTACTAGAGTTTTCTATATTCACAATTTGGCTAACCTAGTCTTCAGTAACTTACGCCCTTATCTGAGGACAAGTACTTGCGAGCCGAGGCCACTACTATTACTGTTGTCTATGCAAAGTTTACCCAAACCCTAGTACACATTTTACAAACTATTACTGATATCCCCAACTATTCCAAACTATCTATTTAGATAGCCCAGAAGGGCTATGACCTGCTCCTGGTCCCCACAGTTAGGTCTTTTTCTTCTGATACTCCAGCAGCCTGGTTGGTGAAGTGCTTTGCTAAACACTTCAGTTTCATTTAGTTTTTGCTGGTTCTTCCAATGATAATTCTTTACATAGTATTGTTGAAGGTCTGTGCTACTTCTCTACTCAGGTTTTGCCAAGTGAGTATCCATCTTTCCAGTTCCTTGGATTAATATGATCTAAGAATATATTATGTAACTTATATATCGCACAAATGCCTCATGATCTCCCAATCCTGTTGATGCTATCAAGGTTACAGAGATCCTGTTTTAACTGATCATTAAAAAATAGTAGCCATCATACAAGTAGAATATTCAAAATTTATCACCAGTAGGTTTTGAACCCCCTACCTAGCCAGCATGCTGCTTGGAGATGCAATGTAAACTAACTTTAGTTATATTATATTATATAGTAAATAGTACAAAGAAACTGAATGTTGTTTTTTTTTAATTGATAAATATTGTTATCATCAATATATATTATATTATTCAAATCTTAAGATTAACTCAAAAGCAAAAAACCTTTTATTTTGAGCTTGTGTAGGACCTTATAAGTATTGTAATTAATACTAAAGAAATTTAATTTAAAGGTAGATCAAAAAAAAAGAAAAGAAATAAATAGTGAAACAAAAAAAAAACTAAATAGCCAAAGGCAACAAAAAACTTCAACCTTTCAAACTGATAGTTTTTATCTAATAATAATTTAGTTGAGTAAAGAAAAAACAAGAAGCATGTCAGTAGTATTCATAGTAGATAAGAAAAAAAATTAGATTTAGATTGTAAGACTCCCTATAAAAATTAGCTTTGGTGTATCAAATATAATATAGTACTTTGCTATAACAATATTTAAATTGTTTTTTTAAATTTATACTAAAAATAAAAAAGGGTATTAACAAAAAATAAAAAAAAATATGGGTTTGGGCCCTGTAGCTTATTGGTTAAGCTTCCAAACCCCACAGACAGTGATATCACAAAAGGTTTAGATTGTAGAAGATTGTGTGAATAATCCTCTAGTTTGAGGTTTTTAAAAAGACAACACCAATATCTCATCACCTTCATATTTAGCAATACTAAAATCCTTGCAGTCAACCTGTAGGGTACTTGCTTGGAAGAATGATCAATAGATTGTGTGTATAAGTTCCAATATAAAATGGTGTTGAGTACTTGCTTGAAAGGGTAATACAATATTACCAAAACTAGAATAGTAAGAGAAGTGATGAATATATAAAAGGGCTGTAGTAAAGGATTGGCCTTATCTAAATTAGAAACACCTCTGGCACCATGAAACAACTAACTAAAGAAGATAATTTTATAGAGACAGACTAGCTAATCTAGTACATCTAAAGGCATCAAGTCAGAGCTCTGGTTATACCTATATAGAAGTCAATAACAAAAAAAGCCAGAATATACCAACAATAATGCAATACTGACTAATGAGAAGATCAAGTTGAAAGTCAAGATAAATAGGGGTGTTGTCTCTTAGTAACATAACACAAGACCTACAGTTAGAAGTGTATAGCCTTGTAGTTGCTATGCAACCAAAAAGTCTTCATGAAATAAGGTTCTGGTAATACACTATATAAAGAAGTACAAATGAGTTATGCTAGTCCTACTATACCAAAAAAAATATTAAGTTCTGGAATTTGTAAACTAGCAGTGGTAGCAGAAACTTGGCTTGAGATACAGATTAGTAGTACCTGGGCTGATAAGTAGAAGAGTTCATTTGTAAATAAATATAGAGTAATCTGACAATGTAATACTAACTCAGTCATATAGTGAACCTAACTAGACAGCAAGATTCTGGCTTGAGATATGGGCCGTAGAAAGGCTACCTGCACTAATTACAGTTGTACTAATGAATCTGAAAGAAGATTTGCAGTAGATCATGTTTGCAGATATACCAACTTGGAAGCTTATAAAGAGTGAGTACCCAACATACCAATTTGAAAGTTATAACTAGTCATGTGAGATATGAAGAAAATATAGTAATTACTAGACATAGTTAGTTGGAAAGCGCAAAGCTAGATGAGATATGTGTGGGGCATAAAACATTCTAGTAGGTTTAGATCATAGATAAATTAGTCTAAGTCTCTGTAGTTATAAAATTAATGTATATGAAATTGTAAGTGATAATAGTATATATTAATAAAAACCAAAGATGTGACCTCACTTTAATATATAAAAAAGTAAAATAAACAAAAAACTCGAAATATTTTTGCAATAAATAATCTTGCAAATATTATTGCTACAGAATAGAAATTGAGAAGAATTGGTATAAGGCATTTATTAATTATTATAGATTACAATAAAATCAAATTAAAATAAAATAAAAGGTTTCTATTTGATACTCTAAAGTCTATTTATACTTGTTTTTTATGAAACCTGCTTCTAAACCCTAATTCTAACTCTAAAAAATACTAAATAAATACATCAAAAAATTTGTATTTTTTGGTAGCTTGTCTATTTTACATTATTGCTTATTTTATTTAATTTGATTTGATTTTAATTTACTATATTAATTATCAAAATTTTGTTGAGATAGATTGTAATCCAAATGTAAATAAATATAATTTCTTAAATATATATTTTAAAAATATTTTAAGAATTTTCAATTTAAATTTAATTTCTGTATAATAGCTAATTTGAATAATTTATTTATCTTAATAAAATAAAATTTTATTATAGGTAAGTTCTTATATTTAATATGATATTTTTTAAATTAGTCTGTAATATTTGTAACTAAATTTTTAAAGTGATTTTGAAGATTTGTTCTAATAAAATACTCTATAATATAAGTATAATACTGTATATTCTGAGTAATTTAGATTTTAGTTTGTTATTTATAGCATGTAATATTTATTATAACTTAGATATTGCAGTATTATATGACTAGTATTATCATAAGCTACTTTAGTCAATTTTAGCTAGTCTTTCAATAAAAAAAATTTATTTTAGACTTAGATTTTTTCTAATTATTTTAACAAGCAAATTTGCCTGCTAAACCTAGATGATTTAAGGAATAACTAACTTTAAAGTAAATTAAATTTATTCTGTAACTTGTAAACAGCGCCCCGATCGAAGCCTTACCATTATTAAGGTTCGGTTAGGGTAGTTTAGTTTGTGTTAGTGTTGTGTTGTAGTATATATCTGTGTTATCCAGTTCCCAGTGCATTGTTGCCTTTTGCGTCGAACAGTGTCTGTGTACAACATTGCGCTGGAATGCAATCGTAAATTTTTACACGAATTTACATAAATGTGTTATGTTACACTACAAATTCATCATTAATTGTAAGAATCGTCATGGTCATCAAATAAATACTTTACCACGATGATGCTATACAAATTAGTCGTTCTTGGAGAAAAGGACTCTGGAAAAGTAAAGCGTCTTATAATGAACCTTGAATCAGCTAGTTGAAGTTTGATATTAATTTTTTTGAATATTTTATATATTTAGACGGCTCTTACAATTCAAGTTAGTCGAAATAATTACATTTCAGCTTATTCCATTTTAATTATTAAAAATTTTATGCTTACTTTGCTTTTTAATGTTAATGGATTATTTGGCATTCTTAATCATAGTTATGTTTAAATCACTTTGTTGGTGGGTATGTCACTAATATGCAGTTAACTCTTTTTATAACAAACTGACGGTTCAAGAAGAAAAAAAGTTCGTCATAGAATACTACTATATTTTTTTAAGTGCTTTACTTTTTTTGCCGAACTATTATGAAATTTAAAATTTTGAGTTCACTATGCCTAGAATTCTTTATAAACATTGCTGCTCACTTTCCAGAAGTCCACCTTCCCGAAATGCTATTTCTCCGACTCCATAATTCGATATACTTTTTCACGACAAGACCTTTTTCGTTCTTGAGTTTATTTCGCCGATGGTTTATTTTCCTGATAAGTTATTTCACCAACAGTCATTTTACTGACAGATAATTTCGGTCATTGTCGTTAGGGTCAGATTTAGAATTAGGATTGAGGTTAGTGCAATTTTAAAAAAACTTGCCGGTGAAATGAGCCGTCGGTGAAGTAATTGTCGGTGAAATAAACTTGCCGACCGGTGAAATGACACGGATCCAATTATGTCCTGGTAGTAAAATAGATTGTCCGTATTACGATTTCGGTGAAATGGTATTTCAGAAAAATGAAATCCGGGAAGTTAACCCATAACGTTATAAAAAGTTTCATTACATCAAGAGTTGACTGTATTCGAGAATTTAATCTAACTGCTATATTTTAAGTAATTTTCATTGGCTTACTTCATGTTAACATAGAGGTTTGTGTTTCTGTAATTCTATATCTGCTTAATGTAGATTTACATTATAACATTTATCAGCTAAACAAGTACCCATATTTAGACCTATGATCCAACAATAGCGGAATCATATCAAAAACAAGTGGTTATTGATGACCATCCCTGTGTTTTAGAAGTGCTGGATACTTTTGGACAAGGTTTGTAGACATTGATAAATAGTTGTATATTATATAATTTCAATTGGATTATATATATGAAAAATGTTATAATATTAATCGTGTTAGGAAATCGAATATTATTCTATGTTCGATAGATAACTTATAAAATTACTAAAATTATTCAGTCTTTACCGTTATTGTTATTCTTAAATTCTAAAAATTGAATATTTAATTATTTTATATAATTTTATATTTATGATATTATTGTGACGAATCATAACACAATATTATTCAACAAAACTTATGAGTAGATAGTCTGTTCAAGAATATATTCCAATAAATGACCAAGATCTCGAATATTAATAACGATAGAGACTGTCCCAACCTAAAAAATATTTTTTAAACATATATTCACTCGTCTTACTTGATCAAATTTAATAGAAGAATATACAGCTCTAACCGATCAATGGATCAGGTATAATATTTACAATACAGTAATTTCCTGTTAAAGTTTTCATAAAAAATTTGTTATATTAAGTCGAACAATAATTTCTTGGTCCAACAAATATATTCCTTTTCAGGGATGGTGAAGGCTTTCTACTCGTATATTCTATATCTTCACGATCATCATTTGAACGCGTAGAACGATTTTATGATCAAATTATACGTGTAAAAGACACTGAACTCGTTCCAATGATGCTTGTTGGTAACAATTGTGACA